ATTTTAAGGTTCAAAACTTATTATTTAAAATGTGTTTTAAAGTATCTCAGGAACGTCAAATACCAAATACATGGTTGAAATATCGGAGAATCATCGAATATGTGGTCAAAATATCTGAGAAGTATCGAATATGTGATCTGTTGATGCGTAAATCTTCACGACTAAGAACGACGGCGTTTACCTGCAAAACAAAGGGACGTCACTTCGAATGGCACCGGTGAAGTGCCAGCTAAGGACCCTCCGATAATCAAGTTAGTACTTGTAATCGTATCACATAATAACTATATATCTTTTGTTTAGGAGTTTTTTCTCATACCTTCTTTAACGGTTTGGTGCCCTATTTATGGCTGTCGATTAGAATCCAATTGGTTCCACCGATGTCGATGGTTGATCTTATCTTTCGCTTGTGCGAGATCATAGGAGATTTGTTGCCAGATTTGTCGGGGATATGAATAATCCTTTTGACCTCCTCCAATTATGATAGGATTATTCTTACCCTGTTGAACCACGATAATGAAATATAATCAATTTTATCGAGGGTAGGGTAGGTTTATATTTTTCCCTATCAGTTGCCCCCCATTCCCAAGCTTGCACGTCTAGCTTTGGGAATGTAAATTTTATTTTATTATTTTTTTTTTAACCCCTGTGAACAGTACCCGCGGGGTACTATTCATGCGAATAGTAACTCAGGATTTAATATATTTTTTTTCCAACCCCTGTGAACAGTACCCGCGAGTACTATTCCCGCGAGTACTATTCATGCCAATAGTAACTTAGGATTTAATTTTTTTTTTTTCTTCAACCCCTGTGAACAGTACCCACGGGTACTATTCATGTGAATAGTAACTCGAGATTTTTTTTTTTTTTTTCAACCCCCGTGAACAGTACCCGCGGGGTACTATTCCCGTGGGTACTATTCATGTGAATAGTAACTCGGGATTTTTTTTTTCAACCCTTGTGAACAGTACTCGTGGGGTACTATTCCTGTAAGTACTATTCATGTGAATAGTAACTCGGGATTTTTTTTTTTTTTTTCAACCCCTGTGAACAGTACTCGCGGGTTACTATTCCTGCAGGTACTATTCATGTGAATAGTAACTCGGGAATTTTTTTTTTATTTATTTTATACCTGGGGTACTATTCCCTTGGATACTATTTTTGGTATCCTTAGGTATTCTGCCCCAGGATACTATTTTTAGTACCCTTGGGTACTATTTCTAGAACCCTTGGGTACTTCGCCTCTGGGTACTCTGCCCCTGGGTACTATTTTTAGTACCCTCGGGTATTCTACCCTTGAGTACTCTTTCCCTTGGTAAGGGAATAAATTGTACGAGCTTCACTCAGGTCGTTACTCCTTTAATAAGGAAATTAAATTTTACGAGCTTCACCTAGCTCGTCCCCTTTAATAAAGAATTTTTATTGAATATCCCTTTATAGTACAAGGATGTTAATTACGGGATTTATTCAGCTCGGGTCCTTGTAGTACAGGACATTTATTTACTATCCCTTATAGTACGGGGATATTCGATTACGGGATTCATTCAGCCCAGGTCCTTGTAGTACAGGATACTTATTTACTATCCCTTATAGTACAGGGATATTGATTACGGGATTCATTCAGCCCGGGTCCTTGTAGTACAGGACACCTATTTACTATCCCTTATAGTACGGGGATATTTGATTACGGGAATCATTCAACCCATCCCTTTAGCAAGGGAATAAACTTTACGAGCTTTATTCAACTCGTCCCTTTAATAAAGGTATTAATTACCACATAAGTATAACACGTGAGGGGGAGGATCGTTTTTTGACCTGACCTTTGTAGGTTAAGTTCTGATCTCTGATGACCATACTTTTGTCAGTTAGGCCCTAGTCTTGGTCTCTGATAACCAAACTTGGGGTAACCGGGCACTGATCTTGGATGACCGAGCCTTTGTAGACTCTGGGCAATCAATTCTTAGTCTTGGTTGACTAGGCCTTGGTTTTGGATAACCAAGCCTTGATTTATAATAACCAAGGGTTGTACCCTTCCCATCGTATAAAGACTAGAAACTCGACTAGCTCGATGTACCAAGGTACGATCAATCTTCTAAACCTTGTCATCATATGTAGATCGGCGATTGATATCGTATGATCCACTATTCTGCCCCCCATGTTGGGATCTTGGGTGATAACCCATTCTATAGACGTTTATGCAACGGATGGGGTGTCTGGTGCTGCAACAATTTACAGTTGTCTAAAAATATTGGATTGGGTTAGAAGTAATTACTAAAAATTAACCTGCAATGGATTATCAATCCAAAATTCTGCATAATCTGAAGTCGATAGGCTATTCTTGCAAGGGAAGAGAGGTGACGACTGTCGTCTAGTAAGTAGAGGCTTAGTGTCCAGCGACTGGCTTGATGCCTGGTGGATAGAGGCGTGGTACCCAACGGCTAACAGATGACGGTCTGGTGGTCAGTACCTCGTTGGGTCCAATGATCGCCCTTAACTTAGGAACCTGCTTGGGAATACAGACCTCATTGGACATGGGATCTTGAGGGACATTGGACCTTCTTGGACCTGAAGGTCTCGATACATTCTTGGGTGTAGAAGGCCACCCTGATTGTATGAATGGACGGAGTAGTGAAACTCCGTTGTTAGAGACATCTTCAGTAGTAGAAGCTTTACTAATAGGTAGAGACATCCTTGTTGGTGGTGATCTTCTTGATGGGTGGAGACCTACCCATTTATGTAGGTACAGAAAGATCAGACCTTAGTCTTCAACGATCTGGCCTTGGTAATTGGCTGCTGCCCGATATGAGATAGAGTCTAGTCTTAGATGACCAAACCTCAATAGTGAAGGGACCAAGCATCGCTAGATGGAAAACACCATATTGGACTGCCTGGGTCGACGTGCCAAATTTTGAAAAGTGGCATCACGTAACCCACTGTTTTGCCCCCAGTATGATAGACGAGTAATCAAGATGTAGAGTCTCGTCCTTATATAAGAACATGGAAACCCGTTGTCAACTGATGACTTTGGGAAGGTTTCCATGATCAAAAACTTTCGTTTTGCCGTCCGAGCCAAGTCGCATCGGGATTATTATTTCTTCAGAGAACTAACCGTTCCCACAGACGGCGCCAACTGCTGATGCGTAAATCCTCACGACTCGGAACGACGGCGTTTACCTGCAAAACAAAGGGACGTCACTTCGAATGGCACCGGTGGGGTGCCAGCCAAGGACCCTCCGATGATCAAGTTAGTACTTGTAATCATATCACATAATAACTATGTATCTTTTGTTTAGGAGTTTTTTCTCATACATTCTTTAACGGTTTGGTGCCCTATTTATGGCTGTCGATTAGAATCCAATTGGTTCCGCCGATGTCGATGGTTGATCTTTTCTTCCGCTTGTGCGAGATCATAGGAGATTTGTTGCCAGATTTGTCGGGGATATGAATAATCCTTTTGACCTCCTCCAATTATGATAGGATTATTCTTACCCTCTTGAACCACGATAATGAAATATAATCAATCTTATCGAGGGTATGGTAGGTTTATATTTTTCTCTATCATGATCGAAGTATCATATACATATTAAGAATTAAAACATATATTTTAAAATTAAGAATACATTATGTTTAAGAAATATCAAACACTTAACCGCAAGTATACAAAAGTATCGATATTCGATATGGCTATGGTATGATAGGTCGCCCTTATAGATATATCATGTGTTTCCAGATTAGGGGTAGAGATTGCAAATATGACTCCAATCTGTTAGCCAAGAAAACCCACCCATGATTGAGTGAATATAAATGATATATTTAAAAATGACTCCAATCTGTTAGCCAAGAAAACCCACCCATGATTGAGTGAATTTAAATGATTATTTAAAAATGCGAGTTGAAAATGGTTTTGTTAAGATAAAGTTGGATACTAAACCGTAAAAAGTAGAGGGTCCAAAGCTACCCAAGAGTATTATGGAAGTTTTTTTTTATCTCACTAAAAATAAATTCAACCGGATAAATAAAGGTTGAGTCTGGATACAAAAATCTACATAACCTGCCCATATAGTAACAGCATAAATACTTCTACGAGAGCAGATATACTACTATCGGATCAGATACATATCAGATACCAATACTTTTCAAAGAGTAATGATGGAAAAACCGAAAAGAAATCACCGAATTAACACCGAATTTGATATGGTTGGCTATACTAATCACGTATTAAATAATTATTTTTTAGAAACAATTTAAGTAGATGCAGTGGACAAAAACACGTTAGATCTGAAACTTATTCAGAAAATCATTCGGTGACTTTATCATTCGGTGATTCTATCATTTTCTGTTCTCAAATACTCCCTAATAGTGTCTGATACTTCTTAAAAGTGTGCATAATTTTAAAACATATTTTTTAATTTATAACATGTATTCAATACTTTTTAAATACTTTATGACACATTTTTTAACAAGTTTTAAATATTAAAATGTAATTTTTTTAAAGTAATAAGATAATATCATTTTTTAAAAAAATTGAAATTTTATTAAGTAATGATTAGGATTTAGGAATGCTTGTTTAATTTGTTATGAAACGATCTCTTTTATTATATTATGGGCAAAGTACATATCTCTTATATTATATTAAGGGCAAAGTACACAAACCCCACTTCACTTGACTTGTAGACTTTTCTAATAAACCCCATGTTTATTTATTTATTTATTTTTTCACTAAAGACTATTTGAGAGGTAAAAAGAGTAAATACTTAGACTAAAATGCCCTTTTATTTGAATTCTAAGTTGTCCGAACTTAAAAAATTCATATATCATAATCTATACACTTGTAAATAATATATGCACTCCATAACCAGGGAGAAATAGACAATCTAAAAATTACTCCAAGAATCTTATTTTATTTTTTAAAAATAAAATATTCAGAATATTTGTAAGAAAATTTATAGACTTATTTATTTACATATGGAGCATAACATATACAAAAATTAACCCCAAGGAGGGTTTTTCTGTACTTTGTCCTTAGATTAATAATTGTATTTAGATTCATAATATTTTTGAAAGTTAATTAAAATTGTATTTTTATATATATTCACTTTTTTTGAGGGTTTTATTGAAAAAGGCTACAACTTAAGGGTTTTTTTTTTTTTTTTTTTCACTATATTAATAATTGCATTTAGATTCAAAATATTCCTGAAAATTAATTAAAAAATGTATTTATATATATATCCACTTTTTTAACCCTCTCGTATTTTTTTATTTTTTATTTTTATTAATTTTTTTTTATAAAAAAATTGTAGTATCAGGGTGTCCGTATCGTATCGTATCTTCCTAATACAAGACGCTTCTCTCTCCATCTTCTCTCTGCAAATAATAATTACTCTTTAAACATCTTCGATCTTCGAATATCAACATCTTTCTCTCACTTCTTTGCTCTTCGTTCTTCAAATTCGCTGTTTTTGATATTTTCCAGGTAAACCACAGAGCCACAGATCTTCTCTCTCATGCCAACAAGATAATAAGCATTCAGGTTCTCTCTCTTTCATTTTCTTTTATGGGGATTTAGTCAAAAGACACACTTCCTAGAACATGTTAAATTTAAGGGTTATATATGCATATGCATATATTTATATATATATATATACACACATTACTGATGTATACCAAAAGGAAAACGGGGTGAACAAAATCTATACAAGTATGAATCTTTCTATTTCTGGGTACATTGCAATTGATTAGGTCAGAGTATAGGAAAAATTCAAGGAGTTGTCTATGTGAGTTCTGAAGATGGAACTTATGGAAGTAGTATAAATTGCTAAATTACTTCTGTACATTGGAATTTATTTGTTTGTTGATGTGGTTGGTGAATTTGGTCTATTTATTTGATTCTCTTACACATGATTCAATGAGTCCCTCAGCAACATTTGACATTTTGAGTTCATTAAATGTGTTTATAATTTTTCCAATTTTCTATTAATTTATGTACATGCATTAGTTTTGATTTGATGAATGCTAACAGGAATAGTTTTGACAAAGACATTATGTAGTTGGACCTTTATTTATACCTTCATTTATAGACCATGTTAAGTAGGTTACTAATGTGGTAATACATGGAAGGAACTGTGTCGTCTAGTGGTTTAGTGACATTGCCATAGTTGCATGTCATCCATTACTTTGATTCTACCTTAAATTGTTTGTCAATTTATGAATATATCTGATGTTAAGTTTTGGGCACAATTTTTGGCATTATATCACTGCCATTCGAAATCTAAAATTAACTAATTGATAAAGAATGAAAATAATATTGTAAAAAATACTTGTTTACCGCAAGGTGATGGTTGGATATTGTGTTACTTTGATCGTTGTAGGCCATTGATGGTTTTGATATATTGGGATTTTGTGTGTCTTTTACCAGAGTATGAAGGTTTGATTTTATGTCTAAATGAAATGCCAAGTTTATTTCCTATAATTCGTCTTTGTGGCTTTTGTTGGAGGGTATGTTTCAATGGTTATGTGAAAAATTATTTCCTGTCTGAGATTCTATATTAGGTGCATAAATTTGCTGCTATTTAGAATGTGCCTTTTGTCTTTTCTGAAGTCAATATTGAATCTGAATTTAACAAACTAGCCTTTGAGTGACAAATTTTAATTGCTTGTGGATGGTTGTCTTATGAAATAAATTTTAACCATATTAGGTGCATTGATCTCCTGTTTGTGAATTTGCCTTTTGTTTTTTTTTTTTTTTTTTTCCCTAGTTGGTACTCACACACACATGCCTCCACTGAGGCTTGAACCCCTGACCTCTCTTTTGAGAAGTAGGGGCTTGGTACTACTAGGCCACTGGCCTGTTGGTATTTGTCTTTTGTTTAACCAAATTGTTTGTGAATGTCCCTTTTAATGTAATTCCCAACTTTTTAAAGTTGTTGCATTTTTCCTAACAATAGGTGCTTAATATACCATTTCATCTTGAAAAATAATGATTAATGTAGCAACTTTTTTGTTCCTAGAAGTTTACTGGATGGTCAGAATTATTGTTTGAAGATTGATCTTCTGCCAAAATCCCTTTTTAATTGAAGTTAAAGTCCAATTTTGATATATGAAGTTGTCGAAAATACTTTTTTACCAGGGAGATTCTATATGAGAATGCAAGTGTTACATTAAGATTATCTATCCTTATAAATTAGATATGAATAAATAAATGTATGTATGATTTATGTCTATCCTTCTATATAGTTGTGAGAGGTCAAATTGCTGGATTTAAGTTTATTGGCTTCTTCCCTTAGTGGCATAAGATTCACAAAGACCACAAACTTGGAAAGAATACAAGGTCGAATAATTTACTAGATCATTTGATCGTCTTATTTTATGGTAAGGGGGTACTGATCATATAAAATAACCAGCAATCAAACAACAACAAGAAATAAATGTTCTAAAATGCCAATCAAACTGAACCCAAGTACATTTTCTATATGCAGACAGCAAAGTGGCCATTTTTTGTTTGGTTTAAGATGTAGCATTATGATCCACCATATGCTTTACTTGCTAAAAAAAATGAAAAAGTTCCACCAACTCTTTCAGATTAGGATAACAATTGATTCTGTGACAACGTTTCTGGATGTGTCCTGTGATCATTCTTGTTATTAACTTTTCTTTCCTAAAGAAAAAGAAAGTTCTGTTGAATTATTCAATGCTATTTGTTTTGTTAATAATCATTTATGTCCCTGTAACACTTTAGAGAAAATGCCCATATTCTGTGAATCCGAAATTTGTAATTTACTACCACGGTCTCTTTTACTGTCTTAAATTTTTACTGCTATTGAGCAATATAGACTTTGCCTATTCTTGCTTCATTTCCTCAGCAATTGGGATACATAATTCCTAACAATACAACCAGACTAGGTCTCATACTTCCGTCATATTTTTAAATAGCAATAGTATCTAAGTTGTTATCAAAATCCACTGAGAGGGAATGGGAAAGAAAATTAACGTTTTATGTTGTATGATGATTACTTGGAACGTAAGAATTATTCTAATGCTTTTACATGGGATCTCCTGCAAAGGAAGTTATATCATTCATTATTTTATCATTTAAAATTTTAATGCTAGCCAATTATCTTTCAAAGCTAATAAGAACTTCTTGGTTCTTGCATAGATGCCCAATGATGTTGAAAATCCCAGAGATGGCGAGGCCCATAAAGGCTCAGATGTCGTTTCTTCTTCTAGCGAATCCCAAGTGACATGGTATAGTAGCTTAGTTCAACAAGCATCAGTCTATGGTATAGCTGGCGGATACTGCATTTCGGCATCATTGCTCTCCATCATCAACAAATGGGCTGTCATGAAATTTCCTTACCCAGGGGCACTAACTGCTCTGCAGTACTTCACAAGCGCAGCTGGGGTCCTCATCTGTGGGTGGCTCAAGTTAATAGAACGCGATCAATTAGATCTTTTGACAATGTGGCGGTTCCTACGAGCAGCAGTTATATTCTACCTCTCTCTTTTCACCAACAGTGAGCTACTTCACCATGCTAATGTTGACACCTTCATTGTCTTTCGTTCAGCGGTTCCCATATTTGTCGCACTAGGAGAGACTTTATACTTGCACCAGCCATGGCTGACAATGAGGATGTGGATCTCACTTGCCGCCATCTTTGGTGGTAGTGTGCTTTATGTTATAACAGATTATCAGTTCACTCTCATGGCTTATAGCTGGGCCTTGGCATACCTTATAAGCATGTCCATATATTTTGTCTACATTAAACATGTGGTCATGACCATTGATCTGAATACATGGGGTCTTGTGTTGTACAACAATCTTGAGGCTCTGATGCTGTTTCCATTTGAGCTGCTTATTATGGGAGAGTTGAAGAAGATAAAACATGAAATTTCGGATGAGTCAGATTGGTACTCATTTCAGGTGATTTTGCCAGTTGGGTTAGCATGTCTATTTGGTTTAGCCATCTCTTTCTTTGGGTTTTCTTGCCGCAAGGCAATTTCTGCAACAGGATTTACTGTTCTTGGCATAGTGAACAAGGTATTGACAGTTGTCATTAATCTGGTTGTTTGGGACAAGTATTCAACATTTGTGGGCACGGTAGGGCTTTTGATTTGCATGACAGGTGGGATTATGTACCAGCAATCTACAAGCAACAAGTCTAAGGCTGTTAAAGAAGTAAATGCACAGGGGAATGAGGAGGAACAACAGGAGCTACTTGAAATGCAAAGCAACAAACAAAGCAGTAGCGATGAGAAGCATGCTACAGATTCAGGAGAGGGAAAATGAGAGGTCAGAAAGAAATCCTCTCACATTTGCTTCTCAGTTTTCTTAATAGTGATAAAGACTAGGTGCGACAATTTTTCGCGTCTCACCAGTCTGGAAAACCTATTTGAACACAATATCCATGACTGGAATCTGGGGAGGGGTCAGGTCCGAATTGGCTTCTTGGCCGGATGCCCAATGTTATTCTTTTTCTTCTAATATATGTTATAATTGATTTTTTTCTCTTTCTTTTTTTTTTTTTTTTTTTTTTTAATCTCTACCAGCCCTGGTCAACCTTTGAAGAATGTTTTAGGAGTTTTTTCATTCATTTCATGTAATTTTTTAAAAAACATTTCAATGATCCATATAGTTGAGGTAGTTATTTGGTTGGTCCAGCTTTACCGGTTCATAAATTGTTTCTAGAAATGATGAAATGTTTACTTTTTCTTTTAACTTTGAGAATTTCATTCATCAATCTAGTAATCCAGATGTTGCATGGTTAGATAGAGTATGCATCTGAGATTATGGCATGATAGCTATGCACAGGTGAATTGATCACAAAAATTATTCACTGCATCACTAGAACTCAAATGAGGTGGTTGAGACCATAATTCCTTTATATTTATATTGGGTTATGGAGGTCTATGTTCACTCCATCTATATTCCTTTTCTCTGTATATGATTTGCTTCTCTAGTTGATTGAGTTTTTCAGCAGGGAACACTCTTGTCACTCTTAAAATTTATTTATTTTCCTTTTCTAGTCCACCTACAACATTTGATTTCCCTCCTATCGGACCTATCCTTGCAATTTTCCAAAAATCTGAGCCCATAATTCACGACCAGAAACTCATGATTGAAAAATCTAACCTCATTGCTGATTTTATGCAAGGCGTTACTTTTTATGCTTTGAGATGAAAATGTGGGTGGAAGGTAAGTAGGAAAGATGGATGAGGCATCTCTAGAACAGAAAGATGTCATTTTCGTTCTTTGTTTGTTTACTTAGAAAGAATTAATAGAAGGAGGTGAAACTTTTCATTGTTTGGGAAGAGGAAAAAGGAGATTTTTTATTTATTCTTACCATTACACATAAATATAATTTGGCAAAAATGGTATAATGTTATTTCACATTATATATAGTAATTATTATTCTTTTTCCTCCTCTCTTCCATCCAATTTTGGATGGATGGTAAATAGTGAGTTAGGAGCTATGTTTCATCCATCCACCCATCCACCCATCCTTCCCATCCCTCCAACTCTCCCTTGAAACAAAATGGCGGGGCCAAGTTTCAGGGAGACTGGAAGCTTTTAAGTCGGCGAACAGGTTTATATCTGATCCTCTTGCCACTTAATTGCCAAAATTTTTTTTTTTTTCTGTATGGGTTAGAGGAGACTGCTTATAATATCCTTTTGTTGCTTCTTTTACCTCTCTTTTTTTCACCCTGCAGGTGGCATGCCCATAAATAAAGTCTGGAGACTAGACTAAATATGCATCACTGATTAGCGGGTGCAGTCAGTTCTAATTTATCAGTGTATTTTAATTCTAGAGATGGGAATAGACCTTATATAATTTGATGTAAATTAGAGTATATTAATTAATAGAGACAGGATCTAGAAATTTTTGCAGCATTTGCTTACATGATGGAAGATAATGGTATGATATAACTTGCATTTCAGATAGTCATTGATAATTAGCTGTGTTTATTAGCATCAAGGATCCTCTATTTCTTACAATTTTGGTGTACCTTTTTCATTCTACTTAAATAGTTGAATTACATATTTTTTGCCACACAAGGAAGAGTTTATAAATTTTCAAAGTGAAACCTTGAATTGCTTATCGTTATGTTAATCTTAGTTGCTTAGAGTAGCATGCTAGAGCTTAAGTCCTATTCCAATATTGTTATTGAAAACAAATGCTTTAATATGTTTTGTTGATGAAAGTGCAGATAAGTGTGTGCTGGGACCGAATTTCATGAAGATGACCTTAATATTGTATATTTTATCGTGTGAACCAATCAGTCTCTGACATGAAATTATGCGCTTATATATTAATATTTTTAAATAACTAATTTCTAATTTTAGCACTCAGATAATATTCTTTTGTCAAGTGTTAATTATCTCTGGAGACATCTTCAAACATTTATATATGGATACCATAACATATAAGTGTATCATGCTCATTCAAGGAATCAGCACTGTGGTGCACTGGTGCTACCTTCATGTACTGATTTTTGAGAGTTTTTCTAGGAATTGCTCACAATACCTTGTTAAGTTAAATTAATCCAAATTTTAGATTTTATAGTCTGAAATGCATGGAATTAGCCACGTATTTTTCCTTGGACTGAAAATCATATATGGATGGTAAATAGGAGCTATGCTTCATCCATCCTCCCATCCCTCCGACTCTCCCTTGTAACAAAATGCCAGGGCCAAGTTTCAGAGAGACTGGAAGCCTTAAGTCGGTGAACAGGTATATCATAATTACCATAATTATTTTTCTGTATGCGTTAGAGGAGACTGCTTATATATCCATTTGTTGCTTCTTTTACCACAACTTTTTTTACCCCGCAGGTGGCATGCCCATAAATAAGGTATGCAGACTAAACTAAATATGCATCACTGATTAGCTGGTGCCGTCAGTTCTAATTTATCAGTGTAATTTTCTTTTAACTCTAGAGATAGGAATAGACCTTATATAATTTGATTTAAAATAGTATATTGATTAATAGAGACAGGGCCTAGGAATTTTCGCAGCATTTGCTTACATGATGGAAGAGAATGGTATGATATAATTTGCATTTCAGAGAGTTATTGATAATTAGCTTTGTTTATTAGTATCAAGTATCCTCTATTTATTATGATTTTGGTGGACCCTTTTCATTTGACTTAAATATTTGAATTACATATTTGTTCGCCACGCAAAGAAGAGTTTATAAATTTTCAAAGTGAAACCTTGAATTACTTATAGTTATGTTAATCACTTAATCTTAGTTGCTTAGAGGAGCATGCTAGAGCTCAAGTCCAATTCCAATATTGTTATTGAAAGCAAATGCTTTTATATGTTTTGTTGATGAAAGTGCAGATAAGTGTGTGATGGGACCGAATTTCATGAAGATGACCTTAATATTGTATATTTTATCGTGTGAACCAATCAGTCCCTGACATGAAAGTGTGCGTTTTTTTTATTTATTAATTTTTTTTAAATAACTAATTTCTAATTAGCACTTGGATAATATTCTTTTGTTAAGTGATACTACGTAATTATCTCTGGAGACATCTTCAAACATTTATATATGGATACCCGAACATATAAGTGTATCATGCTCATTGAAGGAATCAGTACTGTGGTTTCATGTACTGATCTTTGAGAGTTTTTGTAGCAATTGCTCACAATATGTTGTTACATTACTAATCCAAATTTTAGATTTTATTGTCTGAAATGCATGGAATTAGCCACATATTTTTCCTTGGACTGAAAATCGTATAGAATTGACAGGCACTGTTGCATCAGATAACCCTACAGAGACTTGCCCTACCTTTTTCTCCTCTTGTAGTCCTCTATTTTTTTTTTTTTTTTTTTAATGCTAATAATGTGATGTAGGACCAAAATGCTCTAATACTAAACTGATGAAGAATGTAATAAGACCAGAAAGAAAACAGGGGATGAGGAGATAGATGATGATGTGTGGCTAGAAGAAGAGGTGAGCAGACAGACGAAGGGAATGAGAGAGTGAATAAATAGGCCAACAGACAGAGGCATTAGAGGAAACCCAAGAACAAAGGGGAAGAAGAACGGAAAACAGAAATCTGAAAATCACTGTTACATGCTGCATTTTATAGGCAAACCTTAAACGAAAATAAAATAATATGCCCAATAAATACTAAAGTAACCCTAACAATAAATCCCTACGCCTACGGCTGATGTAGGTGTGGAAACCCTCACAGTATCCCCCATAAGGAATCAGCACTTTGGTTTTCTTTAGTGTTTCTTCATGTTCTTAAGCAGGGCAGTATTGCATTGATTGATTTGTGTTTCTGTTTCTATATATTAAAAATGCATTGTTTGCAGAACACCCTAACTCATACACAAACTGCAGCAGTTCGTTCCATCAACGGCATCTAAAGGTAGAAAATATGCATTACAGAAGGCTTCTGGTTCTCATAGTTCCGGTTCAGTTGCAAGGAATGAGCCTAACGAAGTCGTAAGCTCAAAAACTGTGCAAGAATCTGGTACTGGTTATGATGCAAAATTGGTGGAAGTGATAAACTCTGTGATGGTCCTTCTGTAAAATGGGAAGATACTGGTTAGAAAGTACAAAAGGCTTTCTTTTGTATATCATTTTAGTTCCCTTCACTTGTCTTTTTTTACTTTTCAAAAAAAGGTACAATTTACTGGTCATAATTTGCTTTTAGCCAGCTTTGAAAGGCAAAACAAGCTTTACTGGGCATGGTAATCCTGCCAACTCAAGGAGAAGACCAGTTTACTGGCTTTCGAAAAAAACCAGCTATGAGTAATGTCCTGGAAAATGTTTACCTTCAAAGAACTATGTCATTGCTGTATTAGAGAACTTTATTAGTGAAAAGACTCCATGATTTTATGTTTCAGGTTTGCTAAGTAAAGTGGTCATATGGTCAGTAGCTGTTCTGGTCACATAAGTTTGATTATGCAAATCTGCATATATAGATTTGTTATCTCCCTGCATTAATTAGCTACTTAATGTCATGTTGAGTACTTGTCATTGATTGCAAATGTGTATTTGTTTTAGTTTATTTGTGGTGATGCTATGCAGGATTCCCATGAATGTTTTAGCTTTGGATGCAAATGAACCATGTTGTGCCAAGGATGTTCAGTTGAAATTAAAGGTGTTCATGCATGGGGCTCAAAATCAAGTTCAGATTATTAGCAGCTGCTCATGGGATCTCTAGCTGATTATGTATTTCTTCTTTGTCAGATTATTAGCAGCTGCTCTTGGTGTTGTAGTTAGATTGAAACAAGCCGAATATTGAATCTTGTATTCTATCTTGTTGCGGTGGTTACTAAAATTCTACACGAGTCCTTAAAAGTTTAGAAATATTGTCAACTATTCTAGGCCAACTTTAACATTGCCGCATGTGAGATAACTTTGACAATTCAGTACAAATTCCATCTCAGGTAAAGGTTATTCATGTTATTCATTCCATCTCAGATGATATGTTATTCATTTGCAGTTAAAAAAATGGTTTCTATATTGAATGTGTACACTAAATCAAAAACAATAAAATCTTGAATAAACCTTCACAGTATACAAAATAGAAAACAGAACCTAAGCTGAATCAAGTGGTTGGCATCTTGAAACGGCAAAGCGGACAACTTCAACCACGACCACGAAAGAATCGAATCGGAAAGAGAGAACCGATCCTTGGGATCGATAAATTGTGACTTCACAAAAATTCAGATAGCAAGAGAACCGATACTTCTGGAAAGAGAATCGGGAAGGGGTTAGGGTTTAGTTCCTTAAACGAATTCTTCCTTTCCTTCAACGAATTCCTAATTTCACAAGGAAAGTACTATTTCTAGGGCAACAAGGGGGATTACAAAGGGGAAAGGAGAGACAAGGCAACGCAACGCGGCGAGCGGCTATAACAGTTTAAAATTAGATTAGGGTTTTCTTTTTTTCCCTTTTTTTCTTTTTTTTTTTTTTTTGAAAATAGGCTTGGATCTTTAGGGAATATGGGCCATTTTTAGTTGGACTCTTAATTTTGACTACAGTAGTCTTTCTTTACATGGGCGCTTATGTGTTTTAATAGTAGGCAAAGTGCAAATATATATATATATATATATATATATATATATATATATATATATATGCTATATACAAAAATGTTCAAATATTCTTTGGTGTTCAAAAAAAATTACTACTTCTTTTATATTTTTCAATTTGTGCAAATAAGGACAATTCCTCAATTTCAAAACTGAAATACCTCAAATGCCTTTAGGATAAAATAAAATAAATATATAAAAAATAATAATTTAAAATTTAAATTTAAAATAATAAAAATAAGGCTTTTTAATGGCAACCCCATATTTTATTTATTTTTATTTTTATTTTCATTTTTTCAATATATATATATATATATATATATATATATATATATATATATCTAAAATTCCCTTAAGAGTATTTTGGGGTTCTAGAAAAAATTTGGTCAAAATTGTTGATTTGGGGTAATTTCCATAAATTTTTAAAATACAGGATATATGCACTTTTTTTATATGTAATAATAGGGTATATTATTTCAAAAACTAACTTGTTTACGCATATGGATTGGACAAAAATTCTTTACATTATGTTAGACTAAAAACTTATTTAAATTATTAGGGGTTAGGGTTTGGTAGTACCCAGCTTTATTAAACAAATTCTTCCTTTTCTTAAACAAATTCCTACTATCACAAGGAAAAGAAGAACCCAAACAGAGTAAGCAAACGCCTTAGATCACCCATTAAAAGTTTTGAAATTAGATTAGGGTTTTGTTTTTTCTTTTTCTTTTTCATTTTTATTTTTTGAAAATGGACTTTGATCTTTAGAGCATCCCTAATGCAAAATGTTATATTTCTATACCAAATTTATATTTTAAAAGGAGGTACAGTGTCAAAATTCTATATTTTAATAATTCTGCTCCAATGGTACATTTCATCCAAAATGTTATATTTAAATTAGAACTAACAAGAAAAGTATAAAATTATGAGAGGTCTTTTGTGAGCTACTATATTTGGCATTGGAGTGCCTTAATTTCATTCGCTTGCTATATTTTGAGTTTGAAAGGAGCATCTCCAAAGCAAAATGCTATATTTTCATGCCAAATCTATATTTTGAGAGGAGCTACAATGTCAAAATGCTATATTTTTGCAATTCTGCTCCAATGGTGCATTTCATCCAAAATGTTACTTTTTGACACAACAACTATTCCATGTTTTGAAAGTTTATTGGAGTGCCTTATTTTCATTTTAGCAACTTTTAACAATCTCAAAATATGAGAGGTATTTTGAGAGCCCATTGGAATACTTTATTTTCATCCACTTGCTATATTTTGAGTTTGAGAGGCCATTTGAGAGCTGCTATATTTGGCAATACGTTTGACAATCTCAAAATATGAGAGATCTTTTGAGAGGCCATTAGAGTGCCTTATTTTCATCCACTTGCTATATTTTGAGTTTAAGAGGCCATTTGAGAGGACATTGGAGATGCTTTCTACTATATTTGACAATACTTTTGACAGTTTCAAAATATGAGAGGTCTTTCGAGTGTTCATTAGAGTACTTTATTTTCATCCACTTGCTATATTTTGAATTTGAGAGGCCATTGGAGATGCTCTTAGGGAATATGGCCCATTTTTTTGTTGGACTCTTAATTTTGACAATAGTAATGTTTTTTACATAAGCTTATGTGTTTTATTATTATTATATACATTTTTTTTCTTTGACACTATTATTATTATTATTATATACATTTTTCCTTTTTCTTTTGCCGGACGGCGGTCAATTGGCTATAAGCATGTATTGAACCTTGGTGTGGTGGTTAGAGTATTAAATCTTGTACAAGTTAGTTTCATATTAGCCTCTCTTTGATTAAAAAGTATATTACATTTTTTTTTTTTTTTGGGAGGGTTTAAGAAATTATATATGCTCTCAACCAATTATTCAAATATTTTAACAAATAATTGTACAATTATCAATAAATAAACAATAGCATAAACAGTAATTATGTCTAAAAAAATAAACAAGAAGCCAAAAGAGGAAACCTTCATTATATACCAAAATAAATATTTATGTAAAGGGGATAAAGTAACTCTTATCAAGAGCACTTTATCAAGCCTTCCCACTTATTTTCTTTCTTTGTTCCAAATTCCATGCTCCGTTGCTGATAGAATTGAACAAATTCAAAGGAATTTCCTTTGGGGAGGAAGGGGAGATGAGTTCAAGTATCATCTTGTTAGATGGGAGCAAGTTTGCAAACCTATAATGTTGGGGGGTCTTGGTATTAGACGATTGATCCCTTTTAATAAAGCTCTTCTGGGTAAGTGGTTATGGAGATACGAGAAGGAAAAACATCGTCCTTGGCGCAGATTAGTGTCTTGCAGGTATGGGGAAGATGTTAGCGGTTGGACTACACGTCCGGTTTCTATTGCGGGAGGAGTTAGGGCTTGGAAATCCATTCGACAAGGATGGGATGCCTTTTCCTCTCATATCAGATTCAGAGTTTAGGATGGTAGTTGCGTTCACTTTTGGGATGATCTTTGGTGTGGGAACCAGCCTTTATGTCGTACATTTCCCAGGTTATATAGTATTGCAGTTGATAAACATGCCATAGTTACTAACTGTTATCATCTTGATAATAGTGGGATTACGTGGAATGTTCATTTTCGGCGTTCATTTCAGGATTGGGAGTTGGAAGAGGTAAGCATTTTTTTTGGATCAATTGTATCAGCAAGAAGGAATTGGCAGGGGTTTTGACAATTTGATTTGGATTCCCTCCTCTCACGGGCATTTTGCAGTAAGGTCCTTGTTTTTATGTCTGTCTAATTTTGCATCCTATGATTT